GAAACCAGAAATAGAGCACTTTCAAGAAGCAAGAACTGGTAGTTAACCTGAGCAAAATTATTTTCATGTAATGAAAAACTGAAAGAAATTCCCATATTCAATTGACAGGGGGCTGCATTTTTAAGATATTCTAAGCATGTTTGTGGTGAGATTTGATTTTGCTTTAAACAAAAGAAAAACATATTATCTTAGTTTTTAATCACCTTTTACCTTTGTTTAGTTTAAATCACCATTTACATTTAAAAAAAAATAATCCTTGATTTAATCTATTCTGCCAGCCACACCCATTCATAGAGTATCCCGATCTGGCCTAAATAGTTCATTCAAGTTAGATTACTGTGATGTATTTTATGTTAGTATGGTCACCTAATGAGAAGGAAGGACTCACTAGAGAAGACCCTAATGCTGGGAACAATTGACAGCAAAAGAAGAAGGGGACGGCAGAGGATGAGGTGGCTAGATGGAGTCACTGAAGCAGTTGGTGTGAGCTTAAGTGGACTCTGCGGGATGGTAGAGGACAGGAATGCCTGGAGGAATGTTGTCCATGGGTCACAATGGGTCGGGCACGACTTTGCAAATAACATAACATAACATAAGCCTTCAGAAGCCATAATAAGTCCATAATTCAGGATATTAACTGGAGCACACAGATAAAAGAAGGCTATTCCATGTACTAGGAAGATGTATCTGGCCTGGGCCAATCTCAACAAACAGAAGGCATATAAAAGAAGTTTCCTAAAACATACTGAGATCAGTATGAGACACTTAAGGTTTTAAAAAAGCACCAGGAATGAGTCAATGTGGTATAATAAATCATTAGAACTGGACTAAAAACACCTAGTCTCACAGAAGGACCAGTGCAGACAGCATGGCATGTCCTTCTTTAGATTGTTTAAATCAGGGGTCTCAAACTCAACTTACCTGGGGGCCGCTGGAAGTAGAGTCTGGGTGAGGCTGGACTGCATGAAGTATTCCACCACCATGGTGGTGGTGGGCCGCTCATCCCGCGGCCGGCCTGGGTGCTGCCGGCACTTTGAAGGCTGCAGGGCCCCTCCCCCGTGCCCCGCCTGTCCTGGCAATTGGCCCACAGGCCACAAGTTCGAGATCCCTGGTTTAAATAAAAGAAAAAGTAAAGCCACTGGACTTTTGACACGGTTGAAGGAAACAATCCTACAACCCTTAGATGGTGTTTGGAATCCATAGGATAGTGAGGATTCCCAGCTCCAAGCCTGGAAACAACATTCTGACTTGGCCACTGGCAATCAGTGCCCAAATCCACCTCCCCACTCAGCCAGCATGGAAAGTACCACAGTGGCTTCTCCCCAAGGTCAGGGAAGCGACCTTGTGCTCAGAAAAGGCAGTGTTTCAGGGAGGAGGAGCCTGGGAAAGCATACATACAAAGTATCCTGCAGCTCCTTCCTCCCTTCCTCTGAAACCACATTGCTAGATGGCTGAAAGCAGCTGTCTAGCAAAAAGACAGAGCAGGAGATGTGGTGAAGTGGAGATTGCTTTGCCACTTCTGCTCTGCTCAGAGGCTTCTGCTTCTCTTAACTGGGTTGCTTCCTAATTAATCCTTCCTCAACCTGGTACCTTGTGTTCTCACTACAGAAGTAAAACTGACTCCATCACAATATAATCTTCAGACAACAGTTTTTTATTAGATCTGTATTCTGTGCTTTCTCCGATGAACTAAGAGTAGCATACATTATATTATCTCTTTTTTTTTTTTCCTTACAACAGCTCTGTGAGGAAGATAGGTGGAGTAGTGGTGACTAGTCCTGGATCACCTCATGAACTTCATGGCTAAATAGTGATATAAAGAAAGTCTATATACTGATTCCCAGCAAATTTTCAAAATCAATTATAATAATAGCATAAAATAATTTAACAATAAATTAATAAAATCAGTCTTAAAAATTCACATTTTTCAGGTGAACTGCTGACTTTCTTTCTAGTCTCCTTCATTGTACTTCAGTACCGTTCTGACCCATGCCAACAGACATAAGAACAATCTTACTTAACAAATGTGGGTTATGAGTATAAAGCATTAATGCTGGTTGCCATGTAAAAAGAACACAGGTCAACAAAAGCTAAATAAAGAAATTGGTTGACTTTAAAGATGGACACAGGTGATACAGCTTGACGTGTGGGAAGTACATAGGAGAGACATTGTGAAAGGAAGGCTTACATAAGAAGGCACAAAAATCTTTTTAGTCAACTTGTTTGAGGTAATATTCTTATGACAGGGATAATGCTCAGTATTGCTACATGGTAATAATATTTGAACTCTGACTGTGATTGTCCTGGAGTGAACCTTCATGTTTGACTACTCAGGGCAGCTGCAAACATTTATGTGGAGCAACACTTTGCTTGGGACAACAGCAGAAACTGTAGGTAGTAAATTAAGGAGTGTGTTATGCTGTACAAAGGCAGAAAGCACTTATCACTCTGTTTCACAAGCATTTAGGGTTCCTCAGCAACAAGTTTGGAAATGGTAGACAAGCACTCCTGTAAGCTACATCATGGCCTGTCAGTTGCTCAGCATGATACAATGACCAAGGGCACATGAAGAGACTGGCGATGACACGCATGTAGCCCCTTTGTCATCTGTGTATGCCTGGAACATGCTTTAGAATCCACTGCCGTGCTCTGCAGGACCTATGAATCCTCTGAAATAAGTGTGTGTGTGTTTCTCAGCATGATGTAGGAAGGGTTTGAAAACATTTTTATCATTCCAGAAGTTGTATGTGTTTGGTTATGAGTCACAGGTTTCCTGTTACTAAGTAGGGACACAATTTTACAAAGACTGAAAGACTGTTGTTACAAGCAAAATTTGAACTGCAGTATCATAAGCCAGCTTTACTCAGTGCAGAACCGGCAGATGCTGTGGCAAAACAGAGATCTGCTGCAGCACGTGTGTAATACTTGTTCCCTCCTTCTAAGTCAGAGGTCCTCAAACTTTTTAAACAGGAGGCCAGTTCACTGTCCTTCAGACTGTTGGGGGGTGGGACTATAGTTTGAAAAAAATATGAAGAAATTCCTATGCACACTGCACATTAAACATTAATTAAAATTAGAATAAATTAAAAATTAATTAAAGTTAGAATAAATTACAATTTTAAAAAGTAATTAAAAAATGTTTGCTCCACTTGCTGCAGCAGGTGGGGAAGAGCTAAACATGAGTCAGCAGGGTGATGTGGTGGTCAAGAGGGCGAATGCCACCCTTGGTTGCATAGCCAGAAGTGTGGCTTCTAGATCAAGAGAGGTATTACTACCACTCTATATGACTCTGGTGTGCCCGCAACTGGAGTATTGTGCTCAGTTTTGGGCCCCTCATTACAGAAAGGATATAGCCAGGTTGGAGTCAGTGCAGCGTAGGGCCACAAGGTTGGTGGCTGGTTTGCAGGGGATTGGGTATGAGGTGAGACTGAGGGAACTGGGTTTCTTCAGCCTGGAGAAGAGGAGACTCAGAGAGGATATGTTGGCAACATACAGGTATGTGAGGGGATGTCACATGGAGATGGGTAGAGACCTGTTCTCCCCTGCAGAGGAAGGCATGACATGCTCCAATGGAGCAAAGCTCAGGGAACCAAGGTTCCATTTGGATGCCAGGAAGCACTTCCTGACAGTCAGGACCCCGAGGGTATGGAATGGGCTTCCACGGGAGGTCGTTGAGGCCCCATCGGTGAGCGTGTTCAAAGATAGGCTGGACATGCACATGTTGGGCATGTCGTGAGCGGAGCCGGCTGGAGCAGGGGATCAGACTAGATGGCCCGGGAGGCCTCTTCTGACTCGCTGTTTCTATGTTTCTATGTTCATATTCAAGGGACATAGCTACAATGTCCACGATCATGGTGGGGTGGGGTGGGGGGAGATGGGTGGGATCGGGCTTGTGCAGAGAAGATGGGTGAGGTCATGGGCGTGCTCGTGCAGGGAAGGCAGCCACAATCGTGGCCATCTTCCCCCCCCCCCCCCCCATGCCCGCGCCCGCCCCTTTCTTCCCCGCCCAAGGGGGTCGGCCCGGGGCCCCCCCCCCCCCCCCCCCGAGCACAATCATGCAAGGAAGGTGGGCGCGATTGTGGCCATCTCCCCCCTCCAGCACAACTGCAATCGCGCCCGTCTTCCCTGCACAAGCGCAACCAGGACTGCAGCCATCTCTCCACTGAGTATGCCTGTGCCAGCTCAGAGCTTTTGGACTTGCTCGGAGATTGTTTTCTCTAAGCAAGTCCAAAACCTCTGAGGCAGGCCGGATAAACAAGCATGGCGGGCCAGATCTGGCCTGCGGGCCATAGTTTAAGTACCCATGTTCTAAGTCATCCTGCTCCCTTTAAAAAACATCCACGGGACAGTTGAATTTGCTGCATAGCACAGTGCTGATGAAGGCTCCAGCTGCCCACTGCCTTCATTTTCCCAGAGTGCCCTCTGGACTAGCATGGAAATGATCTATGAAAAAAAGTGGGTGGACCCTTCATACTTACTGCACTTCACAGATACTTCATGTCCTGCTGCCCCTTTGAAAGTGGGGGGGGGGCTTCTTGGTAAGTTAATACAAGGACAGTGGGAGGGAGTAGTGACTGTGGGTGATGGAGAATGGAGGAAAAGAAAACAGTTCTGTAGGTTTGTTCAAGGGAGAGGGGCCTCAACGACCTCTCATGGAAGATAAGTCTAATATAAGTGCTTTAAAAATCACTATTACAAAATAACATTTAAAGGCTTAGAACAAGATTGCTCCAGATTCTCACTTTGCATTCTTACTCTCACTTGGATAACTTCTTTCCTAATGGAGCAACAGGTGCCCTGTCCCTCCTTTTACAAAGAAAGGTATTGGTTGAAAGAGCCCCCCCCCCAACTATATATAATTCTATAATTCTGTGTGGTTCACAAACAGAAAATGTATGTGAACCAAATCTGCACAAATTATCTGCTTTCTAATCACATAAATAGATAATCATGGAAACGTAGAGCTAACACATTTTCTGGAGTGTACCACCTGTGTGGAGGGGGGTGACATGTATGAACTTTCCTTGCTCACTAAGAACAACATTACCCTTAAGATCAAAAAATCTTATCCTTCCAACTCCAAATACCCCTTTAGTTTGAAATAGCGGAGTCCAGAAAAAACCTTATCATTGGACCCTGTTGGTTCTGTGCAGGGCTAATATCACATATGCAGTTGTCTGTACTTTACCCAATGTTGAGAGGGGACCGTGGTGGTGGTAGAGCAGCACAAGTCTGTGGAAGCTAGGATGAGAATACAGGACAATGTAGAAGCTATACTTACCTTGTTAGCACATACCTGCTTCCTAACACTACAGTTGTAGGAAACAGATTCACACACATCCCTCCCTTGCAAAAACACACCTGCTAAAAAGGCATTATGGTGAATTTGCTCTTTTGCATGGGATTGTACAAAATGTAAAGGTTACACTGATATCTATAGTGTGCAGAGGGGAAAACATCTAGCATTGAGGCCCCATCGGTGTGGATGTTCAAGGATAGGCTGGGCGTCCACATGGTGGGCATGTCGTGAGCGGAGCTGGCTGGTCCTGGAGGTCAGACTGGATGGCCCGGGAGGTCCCTTCTGACGCGCTCTGTTTCTATGTTTCATTTTCCATTGCAAAGCCATATTATACTGTGATATATTTTTTAAAGGTGAATTTATTTATATAATTAAGCAACAGTGAAATGCAAGCTTGGAGATGTTAAGTGGTTTGTCCTTCTCCACATACTGTTGGACTGATCTTCTCCAGCCAGCATGGCTAGCAGGCAACAATGAGGGGATCCCAGCATTGAAAAATACTGAAGTGTAACACCCTAATCATTTACTGTAGCCTTACAGCAAGGCAGACATGTGAAACACAGATCCTCATCCCTGAGAGACACAAACAAGAAATGACAAAGCCAGTTGTGAGATCAGAGTATTGACTGGAGCATGGAAGAGCATATGTATATAATCTTTAATAATTTACTCAAGAAGATAGAAGTATTTGGCTTGGCAATATTATTCAATGTATATTTGCAATGAATGACGTTGTGCTGGGTTTGATTTTCTGTGCAAAAAGGGGAGATCAGGTGAAATTAATCCCCCTCTCTGCCCTGTTTTGTGGTAGTTTTCAAGTCTGTTTGGCTGACTTAGCACCATTAAAAAAAACAGACATTCTCCTAAAAACAGTGAGGTTGTCATATTGCCAGTTACATTTGGCAGGCTGATGCTATTACTGAGGTTAAATGGGTCTATTCGGAGTGAGTGCATTGTGATGAACTTTATTTGCCCTTCGTAGATTGAACTATGTGACAACTTCATTATTTTCTGGAAGAAGAATGTGGATTTTAAAAATTAGGACTGAAAATGGCCCATAAGCAAGGTTAAATTATTTTCTTCTGTTCTCACTGCATTGCCATTTCATTATGACTGCAGTTGTAATTTATTTATTAGATTTATATCCTGCCTTTTTTTTTTTACAAAGAATTCAAAGCAGTTTAGATCAATATCCTCATGTTCTCAAACTTATCCCCACAACAACAACCCTGTGAGGTAGTTTGGGCTGAGAGTCTGTGACTGGCCCGAAGACATCCAGTGATCCGTATGATTTTTAAGTATCTCTCCTTTTTTAACATTAAGAGTAAGGATAATCAACTCATTGACTATGGGATAGATTCATTCTTTCAGAAACTACCTGTGTAGTCCACCATTGGTTCCCTGGTCCTCCAACATCCCCCCCCCCCCACCATTTTTGTCTCTGTCACCATGCATAGCATGAAAAAAGATCCCGTTGTGCACCTGTTTCCCAGCAGAATCAGTAATAAGAAGGAAGGACATATTTTAAGAGACAGAAGTGCATGTTTGATAAATACATTCTATCTGAATTGAAATAGAGATTTAATTCCAGAATCTAAGAATTTATATAATGTGGGGAAAGTGCTCCACAGCGTCAAGCGACTCAGTTGGAAAATGAATGACTGGAAAACAGAGAAACACCTTTCCTTGATTCAAAGGGAAATGCTTTAACATTGGGAAATTATAAACAGGGTAGGGATTCTGTGGAGCCATCTTACCAAAGTATGACTATACCAGTTCCTTGTAGGCAAGGTCCAGAGAAGCCAGCACTACACTGATGGGAAAGAGCTGAGTTGTGGCAAAGGTCATATTTGCAGCACTGAGGAGCAGCAAGATTTGCAGGAGCGCAGCTTTCATTCTGAAATGGGGGCAAAACCCATTATCTCCAAACACCTGTGTCCATGATCATATGGGAGAATTTAGCAATATGATTCTCTCTAGAATTTAGATTAATATTTATGTCAGCTTGCATACTACCTATTGCAGGCTTACTTGTTGACAGGAGGCTAAACTTGAGCCAGCAGTGTGACGTGGCAGTTAAGAGGGTGAATGCCACCCTTGGATGCATGGCCAGAAGTGTGGCTTCAGACCTAGAGAGATGTTAGGATTGGTCTGTAAGACTCTGGTGCGCCCACAACTGGTGTACTGTGTCCAGTTCTGGGCTCCACATTATAAGAGAGACATAGCTAGGTTAAAATCAGTTCAGCACAGGGTCACAAGAATAGTAGCCAGATTAGAAGGGGGCAGGGATGACATATGAGATGAGGTTGAGGGAGCTGGGTCTTTTTAGCTTGGAGAAGAGGGGACTTTGAGGGGATCTTATAGTGACATACAGGTATATGAAGGGGTGTCACATGGTAGAGGGTCATGACCTGTTCTCCCCTGCAGAGGAGGAAAGGACATGGTTCAATGGGGCAAAGCTCAAGGAACTGGGTTTCAGGTTGGATGCCAAGAAGTATTTCCTGTTGGTTAGGACCCCTAGGATATGGAACTGATTTACACAGAAGGTGGGGGAGGCATCAGTGAGGGTGTTCAAGGAAAAACTGAATAACCACATGCTGGGTATTACATGAGCAGAAATGGCTGGAGCCAGGGGTCAGATTAGATGTCCTTAGATACCCCTTCTGACTTGCTATGTTTCTATGTGTCTACATACACACACCTAAGTGATTATACCTTTAGACATTCTTTATAAGCCAAATGCCAAGTTTTATTTGTAAAAATCTCATTGTGAGTGCAATAAATCCTTATGTCCCAGCACCCATATAGTAATCCCAGGCATTCAGAGATTACAGCTCAAACAGATTAATGAAGATAATAAAAGATTATTTAGTGAAAATAATAAAAGATAATAAAAAGATTATCTGATGACATGTTGTGATATAAACAAGCTCAACAGAAGGAAAATTCATACCAAGTAAAGAAAAAAACCCCCAGACTATTTATTTATTTATTTAGACAGCTTATATGCCGCCCCCATCGCATAAACCTTGGGGCGCTTACAATCATCAGGCTACAAAATCAGACTACAAAAGGTTTGCTGCATACTGAAAATTGAAAGGTATTTTCTAATGCTTTCATCTTGCAATTCATGTTCTTTGATTGCAGAGAATATTTAATAGAATGTGAACAATGCCATCTCCAATTTATACTAAAAAATAAAGTTAAATAGACCCAAGTTGTGTTATAATACTTTAATATGACAAAACATGTTTCTGCTTCTGTATCTTTTCAGGCTGCAGAAGATTCAATATATGTATTTTTTTTTAAAAGGAACAGTGATACAATCCTATCAGCTATAAATTGCTATAGGTAACCTGGCACCCTCCAGATTTTTCATAGTAAAACTCCCATTACCTCTGACCAGCATGGCTAATACTAAGGGATTATGGGACTTATTATCCAAAACATCTGGAGAGCATCAGGTTGCCTTCCACTTTCCTGCCTTTTTGCAGAGGTCACTACATCATGTGCAGGCTTTCTTGAATGAGACTGATTATCTAGATTCATTTCAGTCAGAGTTCAGGCTGGGTTTTGGCACAAAAATAACTTTGGTTGCCCTGTTTAATAACCTAAGCCAAAAGGGGGGCATAGTTGTATGTGATGACACTGTTGATTTTCCTGGATCTCTCAATGGCTTTCAGTACCATTAACCATGGTATCCTTCTGAAGCTGCTGTCTCAGTTGGGATTAGGGGCTACTGTACTCCTGCATGAATGATTGGCTCCAGAAGGGGATATTTAGGGGATATTGCTCAACCCCTCACATTCTCCTGTGTGGGGTTCTTCAGGGATTAGCCTTGTCCCCTATGTTCAACAATACCATTGGCAAAAAAACAGAATAACAACAACAAAAAGTTGAGCTTCCTAGCTAATTCATAATGTAAACAGGGTGGCATAGCCGATACTTATTCATTCATTCATTCATTCATTCATTCAAGTTATATTCCACAATTAAATTAGTCCCTAGGACTCTCTAAGTGGATTACAGACTCTTGTCACAGAAACTCTGCAGCAGTGTCAGAGTCCCAGTGCTCAGAACCTGATTAATCAAGATGTCAAAATGCATGGATAGGACTGTTGTACTTATGTGATCTGGGTTTTTGACCTCATAAATATGTTAGTCTTTAAGGTGCCATAAGACTTTTCTATAGTTTACAAAAAAAGTAAATAAAATCCAAGGGCTGGTCCTCTGGAAAATGTACAAAAACTGATATCACATGTTTTGCTTGCTGCCACTTCCTGTTGAGAAGAAACCAAGTATCCAAATATAATTCTAAGTATTTCATTAGAATGAAGAGCACTAGAAAATTATTTAGCACATTATAATAAAGTTGTTCAATAAACCAGTGTTCCAGATAATAATTAAGAAATTTCTTACACCTAATGCCTTGATTTCTTTTTTATTCTTTCTGCTAGATACCTCCACAAAGAACTTAGAAGCTGAAAACACCATGTCTTCAGTTGCAAATTACTACAATGGGAAGTCTGTACTTGTTACAGGAGCCACTGGATTTTTGGGCAAAGTACTACTGGAAAAGTTGCTGCGTTCCAGCCATGATGTAAAGACTATTTATATTCTTGTACGGCACAAAGCTGGGCAGTCAATACAAAGCAGAGTGGTGAATCTGGTGAAATGCAAGGTAGGGAATTTAACTTTATGTAGGACTTGGTAGCAGTTTCCAGTGTCTTGTACAATAGATAGCAGAAGACCAGATTACCATGCATCCAATGCCCTTTGACTGTAAATACCAGATATTTCTCACAAAACACAAATAAGAGTCTTGTGTTAATAATCTCCACAGGTTCATTCTAGATCTATTCACAGGTTTAGGAAAAGTCTGTAAAGTGTGGTAAAGCAGCTAGATTGAGAATGGCTCAGTAATCCATTGGATGCAACATCTAACTAGGAGGAGGGGAATGGGGGGTGGGCTCTGAGCCCTCTGCAAGTGGCAAAATAAACTCAAAGACCCACATGCAGCTCGTGAACCTTGGTTTGGCCACCCCTAGTATATATCAAATATATATGCTGGGCTGAGCATCTGCTCTGGGAAAACTCTTGCTTCATAGTGAATGCATGCCCATCTGAACCTGTCTCCAAATGGGGAATCTCAGATTTCAAATTGAAAAAAACAAAATAGATTGCATAAGCCTAAATTTTGCCCACCACTCCTAGCAAGGAACCTGACAGTTTCATCTCTGGATGCAGCTTAGCAAATTTTCCTGCAAGATGCAATTTTTCTGAGTTGTCTCTATGGAACATTTCAGTTATGCCAGTCTTGGCATTGCATATAATATGGTAGTGATATTAACCCAGGCTGCAGTTCACATTTTCTCTTAAGTTTTGCTCTTGGAAACTTTTGCTCTAGCCACAGAACACACATGCTGGCAGGTTAGATATACAGTGAATAGCAGTTTTAATACTGTCTGGTTTGGAGGGAATTTTTTCCCCAATTGTGTACCTTAATATAGTGTGTATGGATACAAAAAACTCACATTAGGCAGAGACAAAGCTAACATTGCCACAGTGTGTGAATTTGATGGAGAATATCAGATATCTCTGTATGATATACTTTTAATTCTTGCTTGTTGCAATCAAACTTTATTTTATCTTTACATTGCAAGTATGACCTATGAAGCAATTCACAGTATGAACGTTGATGCATTTGATTAGGCAAGAAACTTCTCATAAGGTTGTAAGATTTGTTGTGTTTTTGTTTTGTTTTGTTTTTTTCTCCTTTGAAATTTGGAACATGGGCTATGACTGCAAACAAAAGACTACTCAAGGTTTACAATACATGTTAGTGGCTAAGCCTAGGTTTTTGCCTGGTTTTGAATTTCATATGATATGCCAACAGCATGATGTCCTTCAAACCTAGAGCCTGGTTTAAAGATAAAAATTTAGGGATCAGCATTGGTTTTTCCATTTAGTATTAGCATATTCATGTAACTTAAAACAAATGGAGTGACTGAATTTGAGAATGATTTTGCTCAGTCTTTTTCTTTCGTAAGGGTGAGAGATTGAAAACTCTGTGAGACAAGATCTGGGCAGGTACAGGCAGCTTTATAGAAGTGTTTGCAAAGGCTGGCTCAGAGTCTCACATGCCTGAGAAACAAAGAGCAATTATTTCAAACATCAATGAGGTTATATACATTCCTTTCCCCGATGCTCAGCACTACCCCCACTTCTCCATTGGCTGGTTACTAAGAAGTCACAATCTTCTCCACCCGTCTACATCATACTGCTCCTTAATATGTTCCCCCCTCTCGCTCATACATCCCATGTTCATGCTAATGAGCCTATTACCTACGAGAGGTGTGTCAGTTACTATTCATAAGCCTATTAAGCATGCACATTATTTCCTAAGAGTTCAATAGCCTGGTTTGGCCTTGAAGCCATCTCACTTGATGACCACTTATCTTCCAAAACTTGTGGGAGGATGAGATAGGAAGAACAACCCTTCTTCCAAGCTCATTCCAGTTTCTGTTCCTTCCTTCAGTTGGATACGTGCCTGTATACTTAATAGCAAATGGCATCTTACTATGAAATAGCTATGCATTTGCTAGGGTTTTTTTTTCTCTTTTTAAAAAGATACTATTCTTACTCTGTTTCTCACAATCCCCCCTTTTCTTTTCACCATCTTTTATCTTTTTAAACTGTATTTCCACCTGTTCTAGTAATTGTTCATTATCTTGTCTGTTCCTTTTTTCAGGGTCAGAAGCCTTATGTGCTCTTCTGTACCTCCTGGTTTTGTGACTATGGTCATACCTTTAATAGTACTAGCTACAATACTGCGCATTAATGGGATTAGGCAAGGGAGTAACATAAGACCCCCCAAATCCTAGCGCAATCATCATAAGAGTCTGTTTCCAATTGCTGAATATTCCATCATACCATCCTCCAACATTTATTGTGCCAGTCCATTCCTGGACCAGAACATGAGCAATTTTTCTCATATGAGTTATTTCCTCGATGGCCTTCCCTGTATCATCTATCTCAAGGCAACAGTTCGTTAAGTTGAACTTTCCACACACACCTCCTTCCTTAGCTAACAAATAGTCCAAGGCCAGCCTATTCTGAGAGACTGCCGTCCTAAGTTGAGTGTTTTGTTTAGCAATGAGGTTAAGAGCTATTTCTGTTTCCTTAGTTAGGATTTCCACTTTGATTTGTGTCCCATTCTGACTGCCCTAACACAATCTGGCTTCTATCTACATTGCCTTTATGTGATTTTATTTGTAGTGCCCATTCCTGTTTGGACGTCTTAGGGTCATAACATTCTATCCTACTATTCAATTGGCAAGTGCTATATTCCATGTCCTTATACTTACACCATCCCTTCGTTTCCTTACAGTCATATTGTGTGTGGTATACAAGAGTTTGTGTTATGTTGGTACCCTGTCGTGTGGTGGTTATACATTCACTACATTGATTGTTAACCTAAGCCTCCTCTTTTGTGATAGTTGGCTGGTTCCCTTCCATTCTGTTCTTAATTCTTCTACCCCTGAAACTTTTTCTTGGATTTCCTCTCCACATCTCACTTGAACATCAACTCCTGGATCCCCTATATGGGCATGTCTGCACATGCCTCTCCTAAGTATTTGTCTGATTAATTGGCACATTCTTATGGAGTGCCCCACTGGTATGTATCCCACACACTTGTGATAGATGGCTCTATCAAACTCCTCCAAATGGACATGGGTGAGGTCCCACAGGTTCAGACAACCATGTCCGAGGATCAACATCTATGGTGAAATTACACTTCAAACCTGCTCCTCCTCCCACATTCCAGGCCTGTATCAAGGGTTTGTTGGAGGCCCCAGGATACTCTGGATTCCATTCTCCTGAGTTTTGGATACATATCTTCAGGCTCTCACTTATTTGTATCGCAAGGAGCACTATTACTCCCTTAAGCAGGAACATAATGTGCCTTTAATTAATTCCTGGGTATCTTAAGAGTTGATGTTGATGTGAGATTAGGTTTCTGTTCTAACTCCCTTTTCTCTTCAAAGTACTCAGGATATCACATTCCTCCAAACACACCCTATGATAAAGGGTACACAATCCGGGCAATGACTGCAGCAACAACACTCGGCAATGCATGTACAATCACAAAACCAACACATCAGGTAATACGTTTAAGGATATCTCTTCAGCCCTTCTTTCCTCCTCTTGAGGGCACAGTATTTGTAACCATTTGCTTCTGAATATATACAGTATGGAAAAACATATTACCATACACAGAACCCACACTGTCCACCCCCCACCATTCAAACATTCAGGTTCCTTTTTACTGTCAGTTTCAACGAATCTGAATGAGTGTGGGCCATCCACTGAACAGGTTCAGGTACCGGTCCTTTAACTCGGGTGTGGTGAGTCCAGCCTTTCTCCCTTGTTCGAATGGCCGCCTAAGTTGTTAAGATGACTTGGTAAGAACCTTCCCACAGGGGTTGCAACTTCTCCTCCTTCCACCCTTTCACCAGGACCCAATCTCCCAATTTGAACGGATGCACTTGAATGTCCAGGGGAGGTGTTTGGGCTAGGAGTCCTTTTGACCTTAAATACAGAAAAGACTTGGACAGTTCTTGCACATATTTTCTCACCACCTTATCTCTTAATTCAATCCTGGGCAGCCCCAATTTCCCTTGGTAGGGTATTCCAAATAGCATCTCACAGGGAGAGATCCCAATGTCCCTCCTAGGTTTAGTTCTTATTCTTAATAAGGCTAGAGGCAGGCACTTGGTCCATGGCAATTTTAGTTCCAACATTAGTTTCTTCAATTGCTGCTTTAGGGTCTGACTCATCCCAGTTCCTTCATCCTTGCTACTTCAGCCTCATCATACTTAAGGCTTCTTAAAAGGAACTTCAACCAAGGGGATCAAGTTCAGTATTGATAGTGGAGCCACAGCTTCTTCAATAGAAGCCCTCTTTGCTTCCAAGCCTGCCAGTCTATTTCATCTCATTTCTTCACCATTCCCAGACTGATCTCCCTTCACATGAATAATTGCCAATTGTTTAGGCAGAGCCAATTTTTTCAGCACTTGCACCAACATCTCATGCACCAAAACTTTTCCTCTACTCATGATCAAACTCCTTTCCTGCCAAATTTTCCCAGCTAATACTAAAAACATCAATCATCACATACATTGGACTTACTGGGTCAGCCCCTTACTACATATCTTTTAACATTCTATAACCATATGCAAATCCATTTCTAATAACTTAAAATATTTTTAGATCTAAACCAAGTCCCGTTTCTCCAGCCAATAAAAAAAAGAAGTTCCAAATTTGATAGAAGTCACTATCTTCTTTCTCCTTCAGGGATAAGGTCAGTCCATCCATTTCTTACAAAGTCCTGTTTTTTTTTGACCGATATTAAAGGAAAGAATCTCCAAATTTGATGAAAGTCAATATCTTCTTTCTTCTTCAGTGGTAAATTCAATCTAACCATTTCTACACAATTCAAGATCTTTTCATTTTTCTAGTATTAGACAAACTCACTACAATAGTTACAAATAAAATCAGATACATTTCTTGTTTACTAGTACTCAGATGGAGTATCATCTTTCTTTTATTCCAAAGACAAAGTTTTACGTACATTAAGAGACTGAGGTGTACTGCTTCTTTGATTCCCTGGATCATTAA